CTCAGGGGGAGGAAGGGAGCGTGCAGGTGAGGAGGGGAACAGCTTAATCTTAGTAACCTTTCCTGCTAACATCACCCGCCTGAGAGTCTTGATTGTAAAGCAGTGCTTAGTTCTTGTTTCATATAATACCCATAAAATGGAATTAAACGCCTAATCCCCTAAAAGTTGGGGTCGTAAATGGTATATGTTTTGCTACACAGAAAGCGTGTGGCAGCTCGGCTAATGACAGCCAAATCTGTCAGGTTTCAGGTTGGCATCCTACCGGATAGATCAATTTCTTACTGTTTTTGTTGTTAAGGCAGGGTTGAAAAGAGAGGCGGTCATGTCACAGGACTGCAACGATGAGTGGGAGCTGAGCAAGGAGAATGTGCAGCCCCTCCGGCAGGGGCGCGTCATGTCCACCCTGCAGGAAGCGCTGGCTCAGCAGGAGGCCTCCATCCACACCGCTGTTCAGCTCAAAAAACAGTGAGCAATGTTTTGATGCCTTCCTTCCCCTTTCTTCCTGCCTCCTCATCCATTTGTCTATGTCTTATTTAACTGTGCTAATCTCATGGGCATTAAAAACATAAAAGAACAGAAGTTTAGCAACTGCTGTCTATGCTCCTGTCACACTCTAGGTATTTAGGACTACTTGCTGTGGGTGCTGTACAGTATAGACTACTCTTTCAAGGTTTGCCATGGAGCATTTAAGCAGTAAACACTAAGGGGATTTCGTTGTGCTTTTACGTGTACTCATTAAGAAATATACGTATAGGTTACAAAGAGGAGAGTTTTTTTGTCTTTCCTACAATAATCTCTTGAAACGGTATTCTTAGGAGATAAATACTTCCTACTGTCGTAATGTAGGCACAGTACAGGTTTTTCTGTATGTCTTCTCTGGATTGCAAAGACACCTGAGTGAGCAAAGGCAGCTTGGGTTTGGTCTGTCTTGCACACAGTGTACCACAGATATGACTGTATAACTTCAAGGGGCATCTTGCGTCCCTAAGCTATTCAGTTAGATTTCTGTCCTGGTTTTGGCTGGGACAGAGTTAATTTTCTTCCTAGTAGCTGGTATAGTACTGTGTTTTGGATTTAGTACTAGAAGAATGTTGAATAACACACTGGTGTTTTGGTTGTTGCTGGGTAGTGCTTAGACTGGCCAAGGACTTCTCAGCTCTGCCAGGTGCATGAGAAGCTGGGAGGGGACACAGCCGGGACAGCTGACCCAAACTGACCAAAGGGCTATTCCATACCATATGATGAACTGCTCAGTATATAAGCTGGGGGAAGAAGAAGGAAGGGGGGGACATTCAGAGTGATGGCGTCTGTCTTCCCAAGTCACCATTACGTGTGACGGAGCCCTGCTTCCCTGGAGATGGCTGAGCACCTGCCTGCCCATGGGAAGTGGTGATTGAATTCCTTGCTTTGCTTGTGTGCGTGGCTTTTGCTTTACCCTATTAAACTGTCTTTGTCTCAACCCACGAGTTTTCTCACTTTTACTCCTCTGATTCTCTTCCCCATCCCATTGGGGGGGGAGTGAGCGAGCAGCTGTGTGGTGCTTGGTTGTCAGCTGGGGTTAAACCACTACAGTTTCTATTGTCTGATCCACAAATTTGCATGCCCTGTGAAGGCCAAGCTGACTTTGAAGAGTCTGCATATTGTGTCTGTACTGTGTTGTCCGAATTTGGAAGCACTGGTGTTTGTCATGTTGAACCAGCTGGGTGACTTCATGTGAAGTCATCAGGGTGTGTGAAAAGCTGTCCAGTACTTATTGAACCAGTGGTTATCAGCTGGATCTGTTTTTTTTTGTTTTTTTGTTTTTTTTTCCATGGAAAGCCATGGAATTATTGTACTGGGGTCTGCAAGAGGCTTCGTCCAACTTGACTCATGTTTGTGAGGTGTTGAACAGAGCCTGCCAAGAACAAGGGACTGCTTGGGGACCTCTACAGGATCAAGTTAGAGCCACTGCTAAATACAAGTTAATAATCTTGTCTAACTCAAGCTGCAAAGTGGTTTTCTTGATATGCTGCTTGAAAGTGAAGTCATCATGTTGTAGGGATGGATGATGCGTGGCAACTTAGATGTGTCTTTGCTATGCTCTCTGGTGCAGTTCCATAGTTGCCTGATCATCAGGCTTTTCCATCATCCTCTGTGTGTATGTTCCAACCTCCTCCTATGCTTAAATAAGGGACATTTCATGCAAAAATTAAACCTCACAATATATCTGTCTGCTAGGAACTCTTCATAACAGAACAAGCATTCTGTCAAGGGAGAGCATGTAAGCTTTGGGATAGTAGAAATTCTTGGAAATACCCTTTGGAAAGGTGCATATCTGTTCTTGTTAAATAATGATACATTTCCCAGCGCTTGCATTTTGAAGAGTGCAAAAGCTTATTTTTTTGATTCTTCTGGTCTCAGTAAAAGCTCAAGTCTAAATATATGTGAACTGAGCCTTTTTTTTTTTTGTAGACCTACAAAATGGTATGAGTGAGAGGGAAGGTCTTGGTTTACAGTGTAGAAAACATCTTTACAGTTATACGCATGTATTTATTGGATGTATATTTCTCTTTTTAGGGAGTTTGAATCAGAAATCCGATTTTACTCTGGAGATGATCCGCTGGATGTCTGGGACCGGTAAGTTTCCTTTCATTTCAGAAGAAAGAATAGAAAGGTCAGATACCCTTGTAAAAGTCTGGGGAAATATATTCTAATTTAATAAGAAACTCATTAGTCAAAAAACTGTTGCAGAATTTCTTTTTTTAACGTGTTGTGTTTCAATACTATGCCTAGGTTTTTTTCTAAATCTCCTTATGTTGTACAGAAACAGAAGCCTTTTATCTTGTTCAGAACTGACTTCCTGTGAATATATTCCATCTCTAGGTACATCAAGTGGACAGAGCAAACCTTCCCCCAGGGTGGAAAGGAGAGTAATCTCGCAGCAATATTGGAAAGGGCAGCGAAGGCACTCAATGAACAGCAGCGATACTACAAAGATCCCCGCTATCTCAATATCTGGCTCAAGTTTGTGAGTGTTTTGTGAATATGTCCTGGGTGCTGCTTTTTCTTGGTGCTTGTCACATCATCTGCACACAGTTAAGCTGGTTTTTGTAACAATAGGGTCAAAGAATGTTGTACAACTAGTGCAATATTAGAAGTATCTCTCTGCAAACATGTTACCTACTCTTGATTTCCAACTCTTATTTTCCATAGGATCTTCAGACCTTTTTTTAGGATCATTCAGTTTGGACAGCTACAAACTCCCTAAGTTTTGTTTTGGAAAAGCTAGTTTGAATGAGTAGAGCTCTATTATTTATTTAAGGAGAAAAGGAAGTGATTTAACGATACATTTTAGGTGTTACATCTGTCCTACCAGTTATTTCAACTTCTAACTGTCTTGTATCCACATCCTATGTTTAAGCAAAACTAAACTGAGTGTGTTCTGGTCTCGCCCTGTCTCTCCATTGCTGTAGGCTTTGTTGTTGTTCTCATTGTCTTAAAGCAGCTTTTCTCCAGGTTTAGCTTCCTGACCTGATTTACCAGTTCCAAAACTGATAAATGTACTGTACTTTAGATAGGGGTAAAATAATTATTCTCAGGAATACTAATATGACACAGTTCAGTCATTGAATTATCTCAGATTAAAAAAAAAATCTAAGAAATTACTGACTTAGAATATGTAGACTAGAATTAAGGGATTGGTAATAATTTTGACAAACATATACATGCAGTCAGAGGTTTTTCTTGTTGCTGTTATTCCTCTCGTACTGAATTACTTTTCTTTATCTTGTGCTCTGTGACATGATATAACTGTATGTCCTGGCCTTATGGCTTCTCCTGTAAGACTTGTATTGAAATCAGTGGGGTCTTGCAGGAGACATCAAAATGGAGGCATCAACTTGGAATCCTTTGTAGTCCAATACAATTACTGAAATAATTTGTTTTTTTCAGGGAAATTATTGTAACGAGCCCTTGGATCTGTACAGTTATCTACAGAGCCAGGAAATTGGCACAACACTGGCACTACTTTACATCACTTGGGCAGAAGTACTTGAAGCTAGAGGAAGCTTTAAGAAAGCAGATCTGGTATTCCAGGAAGGCCTTCAGCGTAAGGCTGAGCCTTTGGACAAACTCCAGTCCCATCACAGGTAAGCTTCCAGCTAAAGGGAAGAACTCTGTGTGCTTCAGTGCATATCTGGTACAGTGAAGTTTATACTGACTTCTCTGATTTTTCTCAGGCAGTTTCAGACCCGTGTTTCTCGGCAGACACTGCTGGGGCTTGAGGAGACTCCTGATGAAAAAGATATGGGTCTTCTGGGAGCTGCAGAACCTCAGAGAAGCTTGTTGGCAGATCTAAAAGGCAGGGGGAAGAAAAATTCGGTTGCTGAAACCACATATTGTTATTGGAAGAGTTACATCTTTTTGTTGTGGAGTTTGCACTTGAGTGTGTTATTAAAGCTTAATTTGCATAAATCTTTTTGCTTATAGCTACGAACCAAACCAGAAGCTTCCAGACTCTAACTTCTCAGCAGAATTCAAATAATCCAGGTTTTGCTGTGTTTGATGAAAATTCAGCTTCTGGACCTGAGATTCCTGTACTTACACCACAGTCATGGATTGCACCTCCAGTTCCAAGGGCCAAGGAGAATGAACTAAGTGCAGGACCTTGGAACTCTGGCAGGGTAAGGAGTCTCAAAATGGACTGGCAAAAAAAGAAAGAAGAAGGTGTGTGTAAGCTGATGACTTTTTCTGATCCCTGAGGTGGTTATTTTCTTTGTTTGTTTCTGGGTTTTTGTTGCCCTGGGGCTTGTGTCTATTTGTAAGTACAGACCTATTCAGGTTTAGCAAGCTGATCTTGCTAGAATAAGTTTAAAAAAACCTTGCTAGAGTTCTTAAATCAAGAAATTACAATTCTTGCCAACCAAAAAAATTGGTAGAGATAGCCTGCCAAACTGGATGACAGAAAAGGAGTACAAGAGGGAAAATGCTAGCTAAAGAAAGGGAGAGAAGCTAGGCATTAGTTAATTCTCTAAGAAAGAAGAGCAAGAGTTAAATTGATGTCATACAATACAGCCTGACAGAAGAACTCGTTGCCTGTCGTCTTATGAAAATAAGGCATGTGCAGCATTCTGCAAATCTGTTCTGAAGTGCTTGTGAGGAAAACAGAAGAGTGGAGATCAAAAGAATTGAAGAACTGCTGTATCAATGGAATATTTATCCTGACAAACAGGATGACAGAAAGCAGGTTCCAATGGCTTAAACTAATGCTGGAGACATGAAAAGAAAACAGCTGTGCTACAGGTGTTTAAGCTGTTCTAGAGAAATGATCCGAGACATTAACTGAAGGAAATTAATCCTGTGAAATCAAGTTAGTTTCATACGTCCTTAGATAACCTCCAGTGTTCCCCTATTCTTTGTAGATTAGAGGGGAAGATTAGAAAGTAACCGGATGATAAAAATTTTAGACTTTTCAATATAGAAGTTTTTTTAAGTGAAGCTTAGAAACAAAAACTAAGATGAAGGGAGGCAAGCAAATGGGCTGAAATTCATGGCAACTCCAGGAATAATTACTACCATATATGAAGCAATTTGATTAAGTGAATGGAAAAGTTCAGTAAATCACAGGTTTGGTTTAGCTGAGAAGAATGAGGAAGAATTATTAATGTAAAACTTCTATCAGTTGCCTGCTTTGGGCTGTTTAACACATTCATTCTGGTCCCCAAATGCTTCTGTATTCTTCTAATGTTTGTCTTTAGAGTTGTCTCTGTCCCCCCTTTAATAGAATTAATCTTGTAAAATTAATCTCAGAAAAGTCTCTCAGGTTTATTTTTTTTTTTCAATAACAAAAACTACAAAAAAAGCCAAACACTTGGAAAAGGGAGACTCAGAGAGTAGAGGAATGTAGAGTTTAAAGCTGTTTAAGCTGTTAATGTTAACTCTTCCTTCCCCAGCGTCCTCGCAGCAGTGCAAATTCTGGTATAGAGGTGCCCTGCCAGCTGCCCAATTTCACCCCATATGTGGAAGAGTCAGCTCAGCAACAAGTCATGTGAGTCTTCAGTTTGAAATGGGTGTTGCATTTGAAATTATCAAAGCTGCTTGGTAAGATTCTGACTTGTTTTGCCAAGTAGTCAAACCTCCAGATCTACAAGAATTTAAAAATCTGTCAACCTGGAAGCTCTTGGTATTTTAGCTTCATGCCAGAGGCTTCAGCAGAGGATGCATAAGGACATGGAAAGTATTTGACTATTGCTGCTCATTATGTAGGAGCCTATATCATATTTATATATGCTAATAACTCAGTGTGTTTACACAAAACCACAGTTACCTCTCTTAGGATGTTGTTTGCTATGAAAGCAGCCATGAATTGAGACAGGCTTATTGCTGTTTTCCTCTATTTTGGGAACTCTTTGCTCATTCTATCTGGAGTTTTATTCTGAAACAAGCTATCAAAGTTTCCATGACAACAGTGTTGCTTAGGTTATCAAGGAGTATGCTGTTTTGTCTGAAATTACCTTTCTGCTTGTCCTCTGCTCACTGAAATGCTGATAAATCCCAGGAGATGGGGTTGCTCTGTTTTGCTAGGACAGAGGAAAATGTGGTTTTTTGCAAAGCTGCTCACCTTTCTTTTTCTGTGGCTAATGATTGCCATAGATTACTAGCTCTAAGAAGGAAGTGGAAAAGAATGTTTGATGTTACAGACAGCTTCCTTGGCTCTGAACTGCATATAATCAAAGAATGTTGAAAGGTGGCTAACAGTGTGGATTTTTTCTGTGGGCTTTGTATGTTGCATGTGGACTGCAGAATGGCTCTGACCAAGGACCTATCATAATTTAGTTTAAGAATATGTAAAAAAATAAGTTTCTGTCTAAACTATAAGACTGTTTCTTGCTCCTGAAGGTCGGTGATGCCATAGAATTAAGTCTCTTGACATGCTGCTCTCTTGGATGAAGACTTATTATTTACAGAAGGAAGCATCCTTTTATACCGGGAAAAGGAAGGAATGGGTGGGAGTTGAACATCATGTTAAATTAGCTGCAAGCACCTTGAGCAGATTTTATATGTAGTTTTATACTATGTAGTTGGAAGTTTAAAGGCAGATTTTTTCTTCTGTCTTTGAGTCCGTTTCCTCATGATGACACGACTGTCAGTCAAATCAGTTCTGAAAGTGTTTCATTGAAATTGTGTAAACATGATGTAAATCATGCCATCATTTGTCACCTGGAGGTTTGGGTAGAAGGACCCTGTAGTGACCTTGGTAATAAGCCCCCACCCCCAGAAATAAAAGCTTTAAAAAAAAAAAAAACAAAAACAAACCAACTCCAACCATTAGGAGTGCCTATTTGCCTCCTAATCTCTCAGATGGTCTGGGGTTGTGAGTCCATTCACATGTAAAACGAAACAGATGTCTTGGAACTGCACACTGTGTTTTCTTTTGAACTATTTACCTAGACCACAGTTAATGCATTTTTTTAAGTCAGTGGTTTAGATCATCTTTTACTGAGGTACAGATAATTGCTGGAGTCATCTGGATTACTGGTGTCTGTAAAATTAGACAAATTCTGGTTCCTCTCCCCTGAAATTAGCAGGTAGCACTTTCAGAAAGCGCTTCCAAGCTAAGAAACTGACTGCTACAGGCTCCTTTCACTGTAGAGTAGTGGGGTTGTTTGTTTGTTTTTATAATGGGGCACTTAATTTCTGTCACTCAGCATGCAAAACCTTCTCCTTGAGCAAACTCCTCTCTTAATTGCATCTTAAATCTTCCTTTTTTTCTTAATCTAAAATGCCAGGCTTAATCTAGTCCAAGATCTTCCATTTTGAAGTCTCGCTGGTTTTTTTTTTTTCTTCCTCCTCCCAGATAAACTCTGCTTTGTAGGATAATTAGGGACTTGTCACCTGTGTGGTCACACAGATTGATGGAGCTAAAGTAAGTATAGATCCTGCTCCAGAATGCACAGCAATTCAGAGTATCATAAGAATTTTGTTTGCTTTTGACTGGGCCTTATTAAAACTTGAGGGTTTTTTATTACGCAATTCTGAGTTGGTATCCTTGCCTTATATATGCTATCATTCCATTTTTCTTGTTTGTTTCTTTTCAACAGAACAGAAGGTTTTCAGAATCTAGCTGTAGAATAGTCTAAAATTGGCTATTTTCTCTCCTATGCCTGCTTTTCTGTGTTAAAGTACATATAATCAAAGTAGTAACTGCATGTTTTTTCAGGACTCCCTGCAAAATTGAACCCAGCATAAACCGTGTCTTAAGTGCTCGCAAACCCGATAAAGAGGAGGATCCACTACAGCGAGTGCAGAATCATCAGCAGGACACTCAAGAAAAGAAAGAGGTGGCGATGTATTGTAAAGATAAAGTTTATGCTGGAGTCGAAGAATTTTCTTTGGAAGAGATCCGAGCTGAAATCTATAGAAAGAAAGCAAAAAAGAAAGCTGAGGGTATGATTCAAAATGGGGTGATGCAAGACTTTACAAGATGGAATTGTAAAATTATACTTACTTTTTATCAGCATACAGCTGTCTGTTATTGCAGCTGCTTTTCTTTTTCCGCTGGAATAGCTATTTAACTGCTCTGAGGTATAGAGGAAGGAACATATCTGACAGTTTTACGTGTAAGCCGTGAAACAGGGGAAGACGACCAGAGGTTTTAGCACCTTTAAAAAGAATTTAGGCTTTAGCCACAGGTTGCTTGTGAAATATGCATTGTGCCTAAAAGCTTTTCTTCCTTAGAGGAAATGCAGGCCATTGCGCAGAAGAAGGAAGAAATACAAAGGAAAATTGAGGAGCTGGAGAAGAAATTAAAGAAGAAAGAAGATGACAAGCAGCAAAACCTACTTGAACAAGTATTGTCCTCATTTAACTGTTCTTTTACAAAGGGCTACTATTTTAAGTAAAAGTACCAAAGGAGGAACAATATCTAATATGTTTCCCTCTGGCTGACACTTTTAAAACTTCTTTTGAAAGGATGCTTCACTCTAATATATGCATACATCAGCCAGTAAATGAATGCTCAGAGAAACTTTTCTTTGCCCCCACTTGTCCCCAATCCATATGCTTTCACTACAGCATGTAAATTAAGGACTTCAGGTATTGTTGTGTTACTTTACGGGTATTGTTGTCTTACTTAACAATCAGACAAGATACCTTATGCTAAGATATAAGCATCTACATTTTTTTTAAGTAAACATATGCCAAATGCTTTAGCAGTAGCTAAACTACCAGTGTGTTGGCAAAAACTGTTTAGATCAAAAGTCCAAAACATAGAACCATGCCAGCTACTGTGAAGATAATTAACTCTATCCCAGCCATGACCAGTACACAAAGCCACATATGATTTTCCTCTAAGTTTTATAGACAGTAGCGTGCTCTAAGTTTTGGGTTTTTTTCCTTTTCTATGCAGGCCAGTCTTGAGCAGAGTATCTTTCAAGCAAGTATACTTTAGTCTATCATTGCTAGGTAGTGTTTAAACCCCAATTTTCATATAGGTTGCAAATAGCAAGTGAAAGCTAAATATTTTAAAGCTTTCCTTTTCCCAGCTTCATCCCCCCCCCCCCCCCATTTTCAAAACAATACCTTAATAGTGAACATTGTACCTAATGAAATACAAAGTGTTGTGAATTTGATGTAAGCTATGTAACTGCTTACATATGTCTTTTTAATAGTTGCAGTATAACTAAAATTGATGAAAGTCCTATATGGTTGCAAAGAGTAAAATTATGCATTTTAACTACACTGAGCAGTAAGAATGGATTTTTTTTTTCATGCAAGTAAACTATGTACAAATAAAAATGGCTAAAGAAAATTCCTAATCCATCAGGGCTCTAATGACCTCCACAGGATTATCATAATGTCCTTGGAACCTTGTTGCGTGGCTTGTGATTCCATCACTGTAGAACCAAAATATGGTTTTGTTTCTACAGCCAACAGAGGTAAGAGGAGAGTCACCACCTTTGGGACACCAAGGATTTACTACTTCCAGTGCAGCAGAAGTTGGGGAGAAACAGCATCAGCTGCAAAGGTAATACAGGGTTTTCTTTGTTAGCAAATTAGAACTTGTAGAGAAAATTAGTCACGAGTAACTTGGATCGCTAACAGCTTGTTTCCACAGACAGAATGGAATATACCTGTAGGCATCAGCCTGTAACCAGGATTTGTAATTTGTCTCTATGTAATTTTGATTATTTGTCTGAGAGATCTTAGCTTCTTATAGCAGCATATGTCAGCTTGGCTTGCCTTTTTTACAAAGTGTACTTGTATTTTGTGAAGGTGTGTAAAATATAAGAAATGTATATCTTTTTCACAGTGAAGCCCAGGTCTCCGAAGATGTTCAACTACATAAACCATCTTGTTCTGAGGGTAAGTATTAACAATTTTTTACCATTAAGGCTGTGTTGAAGGGAAGTGTTCTTTTATATGAATAGCAAGACTGCAACAAATTAAAAACAAAAGTTAGGTGAATTAGAAGAATGAAAATGAGAACTAGTATTGCATGCCTTTAACCATATTCAGCAAAAGGCTGAGCATCTGAGGTTTGAGAACTGTCATTATTTGAAAAGACTTTCAAGCAGGAGAGTTTTTTCTTTTAATAGCTGAAGAGCTTTCTTCACGTTTTGTTATATGCAGTCTTACTAAAATTTGTAAAAGAGTTTAGCACTAAGTTTGATACTATTTTAAGTTGCCCTTTTTCCTCAGAGGATTTGGTAGAGGAATACAATCAGAAATTACATATTCAGTTTTGTTGTTGGGAAACGTGTGTGCTGAAGAAATTTATTTTTGACCTGAATTAACTGTCAACAGCAACAGTAGTCATCCAGTTTCTTGATGTATGCCCAGATGCACAAAGGGGAAACATGTTTTTAGACTCTGAGGATGAACAGGATGAGGCCAGACTTGGGGAAAAAATGTACAAATTCTGAAGTATATTCTGAAAAGCGCAAGCTAACTAACAAAATGTGGTGGTACAAGTGTGGTTCATTAACATGGCAAAACCAAGCCTTTTTTTAATAGGTTTCTTTAAATGTCAGTTCTGTGACTTCCTGCTAGGACTGGTATTTTTAAGGCTGTGTATTAAATGTCCTAAGTAATATTGGATACACTGTTGTGGAAAAACTGTTGATATAATAGAGCCTCTCGGATTTTCTTTACAGATGTAGGTCTCTTTCCCCCACCGGATCCTGCTATGCTTTTCTCCATATTTGATGAATCTTCTAGTTTGGCAAATCAGAATATAAGGTAGAATTATCGAGACCTGGAGTTTAGGGGGAGGGAAAACTGAAGTATCAAACCACTTTCTGTAGCAGCCGAAATACAGTACTGCTTCTTGTATGGATATAGGGTGGTTTTTTGTTTTGTTTATATTTGTACTTTTTGTTTTATTTCATTACTCTACTTGGGAAGTCCATAATGAGGAAATATTCTCCTGTTGTTCCTCCTCAATCTAGAACTGTTTAAGCTGCTATATAAACTTTCTTTGGTCTGGAGAGCTGTATGTATTGCGGTTAACTGATAGTTCTGTAGTGGAAAGTGGTAGATTGAAATTGTCAGTAGACTTAAACTTTTTAGAGGAATCTCTGTTGAAGATTGGATGCTACTCTAACAAATATTTAATGCAATGTAACTTTATCTTAGTTGTTCTGCAGATCATGCACAGAAAAGTGCCCATCGCCCTCTTGCTGTTCGTAAACCTTCTGATTCTGTAACTGCAAAGGAAAACATACCACCAGAAGCCTGTGTAAGGAAACCATTTACCAATATAGCACGTCTTCCTGTTGAACTGAGCGAGACTGGCTGGACTGACATGAGTGATGAGCAAGGCTTCTAAACTTGTCTAGCATGGCAATACTTGAATTGAGTGATGTTAAGGTTATACTGGAAATCTCGTGGGTTTTTTTTTTTTATTAGGCTTTAAGGTGGCTAATATGGAGATGATGGTAAGGAGTCTTCCAAACTTCAAGCAACTGATTAGTGGCCAGGATTACTCACACTGAAACCTTAAAAAGTTTGTGTGAGGAAGAGTTGCACTCTTAAACATTGCTTCCTGTTCCGTCCACTTTCTTGCCATGCATCCAAAAAAGCATCTTTGCTCCTGTGTTCCTTACCTGAAGTACCATATGCTTGATTCCCTTAAACCTTTGTGTCTTGTTTCCTAAGCTATGTGTCTTTGTGGCAGTTTTACAGATGTTTGTAAAGCTTTCAATAGAGGAGGTAGTTGCTGTCTCACCAAAGGACTTACTCTCACCAAAGTTACTGCATGCTGCAATAGACCCTTAGACTGGTTGAGTGAGAGGATTTTATTCTGAGATGGATTTTATGTGCAGCTACAATACGAAATACTTACCGGGGTTAAGCATGGTAAACATCATGCTGATTTTGGTTCTAGAGTCAGTCTGGAGAACTGTGCAGTTCTGCTTTACATGTTCTGTGTGTCTACAATGCCCAACATCTTGGTAAACATTTTAATGTCCTTATAATGGAACTGAAATGCACTTCTGGGGTGGTAGATATGAAGCAGCCTTTAACAGTTCATGGCAGCTCTGCAGCACTCTAGAGGGTAACAAAGCTACCCTTTCTAGCTGGAAAAAAAAATGCAACTATATTACATCTAGGGTTCAATTACTCAATTTGAATGAGCAGCATAAGTAGAGTACATGAAGACTGAGGGTCGGATTCATGTTGGAAGGTGGTGAGGTGGAAGAAAGGGGAGAGAAATATTCAGCTTCTAAATAAATAAAAAGAAAGTGGCATAAAATCTGCTGGCTTTTCACTGTCTTTTTCTGCTCTTTTCAGGATGAGCTGAATGGAATTGAACCTTTGACTGAAGATGCAATTGTGACAGGCTCCTACAGGAACAAAACCCTTTGTGCCAACCCAGAAGACACGTGTGACTTTGTTAGGGCTGCCCATCTGGCCTCAACGCCCTTTCATGGGGTGGTAGGTCAGAGAGTCTCAGCTCCTGCTTTATCACAGAGCATCCTGAAGGAAGACTGTCCAGAATCTAAGAGTGCACCTCTGAATCAGGAAACACTGGTTTGTGAGGGAGCATACAATGAAGCTCTGTGTGTAAATAAACTGAGGTAATTAATAGGAAAGTAACTTACACCCCTTTTTCTGTGTGTCTGTCTTTGGTTGTGGCTTTACTTTGCTGCTGCTGAAGAAATAATTTGCCAAAGAGATCAGAATATACTAAGACACCCATTTCTCTAGCTCAGGGTCCATTTTGCCTTGAGCAGATTTAAGAGACACTATCATGCCCACTTTTCAGCATTATTGCTGCAGGACTTAACTCCGTGCTGCTGCTTCTAAATAACTTACAAAGAAATTAATAAACACATACTGTCTTTGTAACCAGAGATTAAAAGTAGAATCATCAGTTCCTTTTCTACTCGTATGCTTCTGTAGTTATTTTAGTATCTAAAATGCATCTGGTGATTATAGCTTAGATCTGCTCTACAGAAAAGAAAAGCTGGAGAGAAGAAAAAAAACTGGCAACCAACCTCTTTTTTCTACCATTGTAAAAAAAAAAAAAAGCATCCATTGTATGGTGTCTTCTTAATTTAGACCAGAGTTTGATTTGCTAGCTGTTAGTATGTAAACAAGTATTCCGTGCTGAAGGTGTGTGTTTACTTGGCAAGTTCCCAGGGAAACCATGCTGATTGTAATTAGGAAGGAAGAGCAAGAGTTATTTCCCACCCGACCCTCCACTGCTTTAAAAGCGCTGTAGGTCTGAATTTTGGTAGCTGAGGATGTAATAAACATTCAGTATGTCTTCTGTTGTAGCAGTCATACCTAATGGAAGAGAAGATAAAATTAATCTGTAGACTAAGATTCTGAGTATAAACAATCATTGAATCTAAAATAAAGCTCTGACATAGCTATTGGTTTTCCACTAAGGACTTTAACATAAAGAAGTCTGGGAGAGCATAGTATCCTTTCAAAGTCACTAGGCTGGCATTATCTAGACACTGCATCTTCTGAAAGTCTGAATAGTTGATGACTTTATTTACAGCCCCATCATGGAAGCAAGCCTGGAAGATACTCGCTCGTCAGGTTCTTCTGTCTCCTCAGGATCTTCTCTTTCCTCTGTTACACAAATATCTACTATTAAAGACTTGCATATCCCTGAGAAACTGGAACTTGCTCAGAGCTTGCCTGCTGAAATGGTTACTGATTCCGGAGGTATCAGTGAAAGCATTACTGGTTAGTACTAAGCTGGGTTTTGCTCACAACTAATAACTTGCAGCTGTCACTAAACTATGGTGCTTTTGCTGTGCTTCTTGTATTCTACTCTGCTTTCTGTGTATTTCCCATTACTTTGACTAAACTTGTGTCTCCCTTGTCAGAAGCGGTAGTGAGGTATACAGTATAGTATGCTTGTCAATATCCAAAAGATGTAAATGTTACGGTGACAGGGAAGTTATTTAAAGTATTAAAGCAGGGAGTAATGAGGTCAAATTCTGAAATGAAAAATTTGGACTAGGTGGTAATGAGAGCTTCTAAGACAGCTTTGGCTTGTTTTGTCTTGATTTTTTTTTTCTCTGTAATCAGTCATATTGCATGTTCTCCTGATGTGCTGACAAGTGTCACGCTGAAAAAGGTGAATATGAATTTGAAATCTAGTGGAAGTTGCATAATTTTGGTTTTAAATTTGCGCTCAACTTTGCTGTAAACTATTGTGCTGCTTCACAGCATGTTTCTTTTTCCTATTGAAGAAAACAATACTGGTGCTTAAATAGTTAATTTCTATATTTTTCTTCTAGTCAGACCTCTTTTCTCTCTATTATAAATCTTTATATTACAGTTAGAACAGAAATGGTCACACAAAACCTTCAATATTTGGCTTACAGAATTAGGTTTGTGTTGCATGATGGTTTTCAAGGTGTTTAACCTGCTTTAATTCCTGTGATTTTGGTTTATGGTATTTTGATTAGAATTGTATATGTGAAAATTCTCAGTGTACCTACTCTAGAGAAGAATATATTATTTGTGTGCCTGCAGACTATTTTATGATGAAGCTCATCACTGAAATAGCTGAATTATTTTGAATAGATCTTACACACAGTTTTAATCCTGTGCACTAATATTTAGAGCAAGGTGAAGAATCTTTACAAATCCTTTTCAGAAAAAGAAGGCATTTGTTCAGATGTTTTAATGGTTCTTTCTTAAACTTTTGATCACTTCTGTTGCTTTTTTTCTTGCTTTCCGCACATCTCCCTTGAACTGCAGTTTTCAACCCGGATGTAGTATTTCTACTGAGGACTCATTAATGCTGCATAGAGCAGGAAAATTACTTAAGATGTCTGTCAGTTTATTCCTATAAAATATGCCAGTAAATTCTATAGGCTTATGATGGTAAAATATTGGAACACCTATTTAGCCTTTATTCTACAATGTTTCCTGGACCTACTTTGACAGAAGTACTTCCTGAGCAATATCTTACTGCAATGCTTTTCAAAGAAATATGACTATAACAGTAGGTGAAGGTACTCTGATTCTTACCTTTGTACTGCAAAAGCTTAAAATGTTGTCACCCATTACTAGTCATAGTCTTCTCAAGAGGAAGTTGGTAGAAGTCACCTGGTTCTGCTGTGTTTCATTCTGCCTGATCATTTGAGATCAACACTTTTCAGGCTACCTTGGTTTTGTACAGATGAACTCATCTATTGAATGATTTTTCTTTCTGTCCTATTATGCAGGAAGATAGTTACATGTAGGTCTGGGTTTATCTTACGTGTCTTCCAGGATTTAAAAGCCATGAAATCTTTAATATTGTAGTGAGCAGCAGAGTTGGAGTCCAGCTTTGTTTTCCTTTTCTTGCATAAAACCCCTGCTGTACTCAAAAAAGTGAATTTTGATAAAACTCTTCATTTAGAAATTATAAAAATGGTGGCTTACTCTGGACATACATTTTAAGAAAGGAGTGTTAATTTTCAAAATGAGTGTGAATTCTGCTGTGGCTGAGCAGTCATACCTTATCTAATTCAGAGCTTTGTCTCTTGTGAAAGATGTATTTTGCATGACGCTACAGTAGAATTGTTGAGGCCTCACGATGAGATAGTCTGTAAGGCAGTTTCAAAGATGAGTGTTAGACTTGCTGCACAGAACTAGAAACTATAGCTAAGAGATTAATTGGCTTGCTGAAAGGTGATGCAGTAAATCAGTATGCAGATAGAAAGTTTCAATAGCCAGGTTACTCTTTCTTGACAGATATAATCGAGTCGTAGAGACTCAACACCTAGTTTCAGCTCATCTGTTTCTGTTCCTTGTCTTCTAGGTGATGATGTAACTCAGTTCTTGTGGAGTGCTAAGCAACGTAAAAAGCTTTTGGATCCTATGCTAAAATCATTGGCTGCTTCTCCAGGTTTTCATTTGGAGACTGGTGCTCTGCCTGTCATGGAGTTTGAGAAAGACGTTGAGCTAGGTAGGTATGCCAGGCTCCACAGTGCAAGGGATCTATTAATGTTCTAACTGGTTTGAAATATGCTTCATGTTCAACCTCACTAGTTTTATGTGGTGTAGATGGGGAATAACTTGAACAGCCTGGGTGCATATATTTGCTGTGACAGCTCATGAATGTAAACTTTCATAACAGGAAATGAGACTTACTCTATCAAATGGGAATATTTGACCAATGAAGAATACAAGATGTTTTTTGCCATTCTAGCTAACTTTCCTCAGCTGGATGCAAAGGGATTTGCAATAAAGGTAACACATATGATGGTTGTTATCCAAGAAGTGTGAAATGTTAAAATCTCCTCAGCCAATATAAAGTACATTTCAGTCTTTCTGAGTTCTGTGCATGAAGTTTGCTACTTCACATCCTCTTTGTAATTGTTGATATAGATAAAAAGTTTCTGACGGTGGAAAATATCTTCCTTGGTAAAGTAGGAAGGAAAAAAGAGGATGAGAAGAATATGAAGATGAGCAACTTTTGCTTTATTCCAAAAATAAATGTTCTTTTTATGTACCTTTTTGTAGGTGTATTCTCAGCCTGTGCCTTGGGATTTTTATATCACACTTCAGTTACAGGAGCGTTTGAATACTGACTTTGACCAAAGCTTCAGTGAGAATTGCAGCTGTTACTTGTATCAAGATGGCTGTGCTATTTTGCACAGGGATATAAATCACTTCACGCTTGCGGTCAGTACAAAGTACAAGTGTAGAAGACATGAACTTTTGCATAGGTACCCTTAGTGACTTTAGCTTGTCATTATGCTCGCTGCTGAAGATAGCTTCACGTGTTTAACCCTGCAATCTAGATCCTCTGTTTTTTGTTCTATCTATATACACAGTAGGACTGTCTACTATAGCCTTAGTCAGAGCTGGTTTCTCATTCATGTGCTTCTGAGAGACAAACTTCAACCATTTTTTCCAATTTTCTTTATTTATGAGTAATAAATGACCTGAGCCAAGAACTACATGTTATTCCACAACAAGGTTTGCACCTAAAACTCTTGTTTAACTTAACGTCGTTCAATGAGTTCCACTCTTCTAGTCTGCCATAGGAAGTTCATAGCATTTAGTGTCTTGCTGAAGTATTTACATTATAAATAAAGCCTTGTAAGTGCATTTTGAATTGCTGCATATAAATAGGATACAAATTAAATAGTGATTTCAGTCTTCTGTTCAATTTCCTCCTCCTGATCTTTTGTCCACTTCTGTATAATAGTGTCTCTGAAGTGCTTGTGGTGCTTTTAATTCTCGCTGGGCTGATCATGGGCAAAATCTGATTATACTGAATTTAGGGTAGGGCTGTTATCTCTGTACAGATGAGTAAGGAAAAAAAGGTGAGCTATAAATATTTCACTTAATCCAAGGTAGAATGGCATATAGATACATGTTTATTCCCTGTTTTCAGGATGTTATGCGTGGCTGTAAGTCCATGACAGAGGAAGTTATCCTACTGGTTGTTTACAATCTTCTGGGTGTGGTAGAGAAGCTCCACAAAGCAGAGATTGTCCATGGAAATCTGAGTCCAGAGGTGTTCTTTCTGGGAGACAGGTTTGTCTCTTTGTATGAATATGGGAGGATATATAATACTCAGTTTCAGCTACAGCTCTTGTGCTTTTGTAATTTCTCCTCTTTAGTTGGGGTACTGATACTGCATTCCAGTGCTTTTAGGCTACAGTGTATTTTGAAAATAGTGCAAACATTTTGTTTAGGAATAAAACTTTCTTTTGTTTATTTCTTCTATAGAAATAGTATACAATGATGTTGTAAAACTTAAGAAAAACATTTTGTTTAGTATGTTGCCTGTGTTCTCAAGTTTCTACTTTACCAATGTACTGGACAGCTAACTGGATATTGGTAAATAATTTGCCTTCTGGTTTTACATACTGAAAAACAAGAAATTAGAAGATAAAGGGCAGATGTGACTGGAATATTCAGACACTCTTAAATAGATAGCTTAGCTTCCAATACAGTCCAGCTTATAATGATGCACAGATCTAGTTTTGCTCTTTAAGCTCTTTCCCATATTGTGTTAACAAAGTCGCATATCCCTTGAAATGTGATCTGTGAACTAAGTGTGGGAAGATAGTAACTTTGGAATGTCTAATGTGTCAGATATAATTCCATTAGAGGAGATTAACTGAGGCTGTTCTTAGTCTTCACTGATATGTTAAAAATAGCTATTAACTTTAAATGTACTTTGAATCTACAGTCATCTAACACGTGCACCCCAATATATTTTATTTATAATTTATTTACAGTTATTTATAGAATTTTATTTATAAATAGTTACATACGTGTACTGCTGAAGTTCTAATATTTTCTTCACACACCCCACTGGATTGTCTAGCACATCCCTTAGGGTGCACGCATCCAGTTTTGGAAGTCACTGATCAGCTTGATTGGACTTTGATATCTCCTGCTGGATTTCTCTGTGGCGATTACAAACTAAACTAAACTGCCAAAAAAGTTATGATAATGGTGGGGTTCTTTTAGATAGCAAAAACTATCCTAGGACAAGTGCATATGAATTACAAAATATATCATACAAATATGTAAGAAGAATAGTAGTGAGAAGTGTGATCGGTTCATATTGTTGGCTTGGCAGTACGCTGTCGTCTGTACAGATACACTTAACTGCCCTTTCTGTTTGTCCTCCCCAGTGCGTAGACTAGGAAAGATTTCTTTTTAAAGTATTATGAAGTATTTTAAAGTATTATGAAGCTTAATTCCTTCTTGTATAAGAATTCTGTGATCTTGAAGGAGAGGGAGAAGTGCTAAATATTATGCTATTTTCCCATTCCACCAACTGTTTCAGATAACTGACAATTATCAAAACAGTGTCATCCTTAACTGCTTAGCGTTTCCCATTGCTTACTCTGGAGATACCAGCATCATCTCTGAGCTTCAGGCTGCCAGCTGGTTCCCCACCCAGGGCTAGTCCTTTCAGCAGTAGTTCTCAAGCTAACCATCAGAGGGGAGCATTGACATAGCTAAGACTCACCTTTATTGCACTGCTAAATTTAATCTAAAAAACAAAGAGTTTGTTGGATTGTTTTGTGCTTCATTTGTTTCCTCTGCTCAGGATCTGTGATCCCTTTGCTAATGATGAGAAGACAAGAGCTCTGAAGATAGTGGATTTCTCTCATGCTCTAGATTTGAGATTACAGTCTCAAGTAAGTTTACCCAACAGCTTTCCAATATCTCGGACCCCTCATGGACAACAGCTTCTGGCAAAAAGTTCTCTGCCTTATCAGGTGAGTATCTATGCAGCAGGACATCTTGGTTTCTGTGTTTCCTTTACAAAATCTCTCAAGCTATACTCTGCAGCTGTGGAAAGCTCTGATCAATAAATACTGAATAAAGAGAATTTTTCATCTGATTAAATCTCTGGCATTAAATGAAGGGACTAACAGTGCTGTTGGGTGCTTGTGACTACTGTATTTATTTAGAAACCTAGGATAAGGCCAGAATTTTACCTTTTGACATTTTCTTGCTTAGCAGCTCTCTGGAAGATTCTGATGCAAAGACCAATTCAGAGTTAAATGTGTAAAAGCACCAACAGTAGAAATCTGTAGTGGATTACAGAAGCTGAACTTTCTGATGCTTGTTGTGATTACAGGTAGACTTGGTTGGCATTGCAGATATAGTTCATTTGATGCTGTTTGGGGACCACGTCCAGGTCTATCAAGAGAATTCCATCTGGAAAATCAGCCAAAATGCATCAAAGTAAGTCCTTTTGCAGAGGAGGCTGCTGGGAAAGAACAGACTTCTAACTTCACTTTCTTTACAATGGCACCATCTTCAAAGCTTAGAACACAGAACTCAGTCCTGTTGTTGCCAAAAGCATTTGTTCTGTGAGGACTCGCGCTTCGAAGCTACTAGACTTGTTCATCGTATAGCAGCCTTACTGCTGTGTAGGAGTCAATTTTAAGCTCAATGTGAGCCCAACAGTCCAGTTAAGATGATCTTGCTTTTTCCATCCTTTTAGACCAGACTGCTTTAGTCTATCTTTTTACTTGATAGACCAAGCTTAGAGAAGTTTGTAAGTGGGTGGGTGGTGAGGAAAAAAATTACATGAGCATGTTGCTTTAGAGATGGAGATTATTTGGTTTTTCTGCCTTTTTTTCATTCTAGGTTCTGTTGAAGGGCTACTAAGACACTGATGCCAGGGTTCTGTCTGTAACAGCTGCAGAAACAGAATACGTGCAAAAGAAGGAAAATAATTTAAAATTATAATTTAAGATGCATCTGCAAGCAGCTTCCTTTTTGGAAGCTGCTGTTTGTCCTCTGGTATTAATTTCTACTGTTCTTTTAGCCACATGTTTTGGCTATAAGACTACTCTGCTTGCATCTACCCTTTGTTTGTTCTTAGACTAAACACTTGTTCACTTTTAGTTGCATCCTGCAGAATTTTATGCCTTAGCATTTCATACTGACTTTCTAGCGTGCTCTGCTCATGACAAATTACTTGACAGCTATCTGCATTTGGGATCGTGGTATGTTAGCTACACACTCTGTGTGGATATACTTCTATAATCATTGTTTTCAGATAACCTACTACCAATCTGGGAGTTGTCCAGTTCCCTAGCAACCTGCATTACTTATACCTCCTAGTTTGTTGTATTCAACCTTTGAAAAAAATCTCGTTATCTTAAGCTGTGTACAGGGGGAAAAACTTGGCATATATCTGTTTTTCTATACTGTTATAGACAATAGCAATAGTTACAAGGCTATAGCAGGCTTCTGCTGCATACTCACTATTTCTTCAGAAGATCAACTTACCAGGACTAGGCTATAAAGAACAGAATCACCAAGGGTGATTGTTCTCTGAAGAGATGAATATCAATGATGTATAGGCTGGCAGTAAATACATACCTTATTGCATTTGTTTCAGAAATACAAAAAAAAAAAGGCAACAAAATCATTGATGGAGACTCTAGTGACAGATATTCTAACATTACTTACCTTTAAGCTAGGTAAGTCTGAGCTGCTCTGAAAACTAGGACTCTCTATATTAATTTCTATGAGAACATGAACTGTTTTTAACAATATTCTGTTGGGATAGAGACACAGATTTCTATTAAGTATTGCCTTTTAAAATATTTTTTAGTATTTATTGATTTTTTTTTTTTTTTTAATTCTACAAGAAATTAAATTGAGTTACTGCAGATGAAGCCACACAAGGCCTGAGTTGGGAAGGTTGGAACAGGGTGTTGGGGACCTGATCATGATGTGGCTATGAGAAAAATGGCAATAACTGTCTGGATAACTGGAGCAAGAGGAGCTGAGTGGCAGGTATTTGTCTGAGTTTGGAAGAATAGGGCTGGCTTTTATGGGGAGTTTGGAGGGGAGGGGTCAACTGGAAAGGAATTTCAGTCAAAGCTGGGGACACTGGATGGAAAGAAGTAGGATTCTGGGTAGAGGTAGAACTTGTAGGGAGACTTAAGTAGAAGGGGAGTGAGACCTGTGAAGGGCTAGAGGAGACTAAGGAGGCAGAAGGTAAAGCCTGGGCATGAGTTCTGTGCAGCTGGAACTGAAATGGCTCATTGCTCGCTTGGGTACATCAGTTCATAACTTTGCTTTGGAGTTGGGAGTACAAATAAGGGATTTCCATTTTCCATCCTATCTTCTGCTTTGCTTCTGAAAGTGTTATAGTCTTATTATTCATCTGCTATACTTATTTTTAATATCATGAATTCCAAGAAATGTTTGTATAGGTGATTTAGTTACATGTTATACTGAAGTCTCATATCAACAGGGCATTTCATTATGTGGGAATAAGGAATCTGCACTGAATCTTTTGTCATTCACACATTGATCTTTTAGTGTGTCTGGCTCTTATTTAACTGGTGACATTTCCTCCAGTCAATTTGAAGCTTTCAATAAATTCTCAAGTAATGTCTGACAAGCAAGTTTCCTGCTGCAGGGAGTCTTCATCCACCAGAAGGGTTTGCACAATTAAGCACTTCCGTGTGAGAAGATTCAGTTGATGGAGATTAATCTTGTGCTTTATCCTCTGAATACAGCCATGCATGGCAATGACACTTGCAACACCAATGAAGACACAGGATTCTATTTCCTGTTGCTTTTAGTAATTCTACTTTTCATTTGTAAAGATCATGTTACTTCTGTCCTTTCTGCTAAAAGTTCTATAAGTGACTTGGAAAGTGGGTTTGGATTTTTTTTTTTTCCCTTTGGGGGTTGGTTTTGCTGGGGGTGTTTAGGTTTTTTTGAGGGTTGTATTGGCAGGATAACTTTCTTAAAAGAATGTTCTGAAAACTTAGGCAGTAAAAAATAGAAAGAAAGCTTCTTACTAAAAGGCTGACCAATGTTAAATGCAACAACTGTGACCTCATTATCTTAGGAAAGCTTTGAAAAAAGGACTTAATTATTTTTAAGTATTAAACAAACTTAAAGATAGTAGAATGACTGGTAGAGCTGCTACTTTTACTACCAGTTCAACAAAATAGCAAAGCAGTAGGGAATTGGAAGGCAAAGCATAGAATTGTTCTAAGGCCAGTGGCACTCAGTAACAGAACCCTGACAGAATGAATGCAAAGCACTTAAGTCAGTGTTGTATTAAAGACTTCTGGGAAGGAAGAATGTGAATTCTGATCTAGTGGGGTTTTTTGTCTTTGAGCATTACTATAAGGTTGACAACCTGTTTTTCAGAGGAAGGAGTTTTAGCGTCTTACCATTATTAAAGAGTGGATTTGGAAACTACTTTTACTTCCAGGAGTGTTTTTAGTTTTTTCATTTTCACTCTACTGTTTTGGGAAAATTCATCTATGCAGGCTTATGTGAGGTAGTTCTATAGAAGCTGTGTTTGAATTTTTTGGACTATTTTTGTCACTCATAACTCCTTAGACATCCTTACCAACATGTAACTTCTTCTGTTACGCCTCTTGGTCTAAGCCCATGGAGGAAATGGCCTCAAGTTGGGGTTTTTTTTGTTAGGTTCTGTATGACTTCATTATTTTAGAAAATATAAGAGTTACTAGTGTAACAGTACAGGCCAGATTCCTTCTGACACTATGGCTACTGCTGTTCCGTGTGTCACTTACATAAAGCAGAGGTAGATAATTTGTTCAAAAGCCAGCGTAACTCCTAGCTTGAGGGAGAAAAGTGCTTCAGTAGTCAGAAGCAGCACGGTCTACGGACTGCAATGCAAGACTGAAGAACAAAGGGTTAGCTCTGATATCAGTTTTCTGAGACTTTAATGAGTCAGTTAACCTTTCTATTCATGTTGTGTGGGTATATCTGTGAGACAGATATTAATTGTCTTTGAAATATTACCTATGTGAAAAGCCTGGCAGTTGGAAGGCAGGGGAAAAAAGAAAGTAAAACTGGCTGTAAACCACTTTTTTTTTTTTATTATTATTTCTCTTGCAGCCTTCCTTTAATATTGACCTGTGAACTTAACTTGTAAATGGGGGAATAAGATTTACCTCTATCCCTTATTCATGAAAGGAATCTGCCAACTTTGCTGGTTCAAAGAATGCTCTTGATAACTCCTTTTAATTTAAAAGTGCTGTGGCTCAATGTGAATGGTGATAGTGGTCAGGTACACTAGAAGAGGCATCTGTAAAAACAGTGGTTTTGATAGACCTGTGAAACAGCCTGTCTAGTTACTATCCAGAAGCCTACTGGAGAAAGGGGCCCACATGTATAAACTTCACAATACATTCCTAATTTTCCTTTACATTTACTCATGTAAGTGAAATTATTATTTCAGACTTGGTTTTCCCAGGGTGTTTAGTACTGAATACAAATGGATGTCTTGACAGACATGTTGTGTATGCATACTGTTTCACTGAAAACTGCTCTGTTTGTTTTAGGACTGTTGACAGTGATTTCTGGAGTAAACTTTTTGGGAGAATTCTGAATGCAGATGGTAAGTCCACAGTGCCTCTGCTGAGGGAGTTAAGAGAGGAAATAAGTGACATGTTTGACAGCTGTTTCCAAGAACGTCTTTGTGAAGCCTTAGCTGCACTGGGAGAAACTTTCTTCTTGGAGAACTTGCTGTGATTTCATAGAGGACAAATACATTTTGTATTAGAGAAGAATTTGTTGTTAACTTTTTATTTATTGTTTTTCAAATGTAAGTGTGAGTAGTGATTGTAGCAGTTTCTGCAATACTTCACACGGGACTCGCTAAAGTATCTTGATATTGCATCAGTGCATGGATAACCTCCTAAGCCTGCTACATGAACTAGTCTCTGTCTGAGCAGTTTGCTAGAGAAAATTGGTTGTCATAATTTCCCCCTCGCCGCCTTGTATAGTTCCTTAAAAATGTGTTTAATGCCTAGCTCACACTGTAGTCTCTGAAATGTCTTTGTCCTAAATTTAGTTGGTCTTTTAATCAGTGTTTCATCAATAAAGCTGTATTTTGATAGCAACTCTGTCCTATTAAACGTAACTGTCTGATGGTTTCAAAAGATTGGATTTAGCAGTCATGCTGGAGTGCTTCTGCCTGACTGGGAATCATTTGTGACTGCTAGATACAAAAGACCCTCATTTGGTGGTAGCTTTTGTAACCACACAGGACTTCCTGGACACTCGAACACGACTTGCATGATTCTATTTGGAATGTGCTCTCATGGATGATTGTCATAAGAAAAGGTAGATGAAATCATGAGTGGAAAAGATGCATATTTAAACTTTTGCTTCTCAGTGCAAGTGTTTTATTTACTTTTGCAAGGGCTAGAGTTACTGACTGTCAGAAATCTCACTGAAGTCTCAGTTTGCCATACGTGCTGAAGTGTTTGCAGGTTTTTGTGGGAGGTTTTGTGCATGTATATTTGTGTTAACCTTTTATGCACTGTATTATTGAAACCAATGCAAAGTCTTCATTTTATTAAAGAGAAAAGAATTTACAGGATCCAAACCCAAGGTGCTACCTACGTACCTTAAATGTAGAGGAACTTCTCAGACTCGGGATTTGCTTCCTCACAGCTTCTGCTACGTATGAAAGTGAGTGTAGAAGACTGCATCACTAGTAATATCTTCTCCCTATAAAACCAAATTGACTTTAAGTGTTTTTTCATTTGGTTAAATTGTCCAGCCATGGTTCTGTCTGATTCTCCCCTGTTTGTGTTATCTCTAAATTCTGCTCTGGAACTTAATTCTGTATTTTCTAAGTTGCTACAAGCCACCACCTTCTTTCCTGTTGTTTCTGTGTATGTCCATTGCTGCTCCTCTTGCTCTGACCTGTGTTCTTTTTGCTCTTTCAGATACCTAATGCCTTCTTTTATAGTCCCTTCATGAAGACTACATACTCCTGTAATTCAGGAATGGGACTTAAGTGCGCTGATAGAAAAGCTTTAATATCTAATGTAAACCGCTGCTGAAGAATTTTTTGGTCTGTTAATGCCTCAGATAATGCTTCTTGTAATACAAGTCATTAGTTGGTCATCTATTCTGCAAGGAGATGAAATAAATAATGATCTATCTCTAGCCAGAGTTTGGAGCAAAGATTGCTGGTAGAGCAACTAGGAGCTATGCATTGGACTAACTTCTGTTAGCTCTAAAAGAACTTGCATGTTTGTTAGTGCTTTCCTTTAGTTTGTTTTCTTTTGCTGATCTTCTAACTTCCTTTTAGACAAAGTCTGCTCACTTACTGTCCTCTCACTTTCAGCCTTTTCAGTTTGTATCCTGCAACACTGATTTGAAAACCAGGTAGCCTAGGAAGAGAATGCTCATAACAGAGTATCAGTCATCCTGAGGACTTCTCAGGCAAGACGTGTTTCCAGCCAACATGCAACTTCACTGTCACTTCACCTATTTTGTAAACCTTATTCAGACAGAAAGCTTTTGAGAACAGTCTGAACACAGAAATAAGAGCTCTCAGCAGAAGTTCAGTAAAGGAAATTTGTTCCTCAGGTCTCTAAAATCTGTAAGTGAATCTATTTAACTCTTATGAAGTCTACTTTAAAGTTGAAACACTACATTATATACGCTTATATTGACTTGGCATGTTTTCTTTCTGAGCAAAATCTGTGCTAATCCTTCTCCATCTAATAAGACTACCCTTGATCAGTTGCACCTCTTGTTATTCTTTAGGTATATTCCAGACAACACAAGTGCCTTATTATAACTAGAAAATTATTAAACTTTACAATATTGTAAAATAAGAAACATTTAGCAATGGCATTACAGACTTCTCCATTAGAAACAAACAAAAATAATGAAGAGGAACTAGCAGCTATAAAAAGAAAAAGCGGACATCTCTTCTGCTGCTTGTTCCAAGTTCTGCATCTCTTCCACACAGGTTAGTCTCTGCCTATCCTATGGAGTGATTGCACCAATGTGTAAAAGGAGCTCAGGGAGGTCTTTCAGACATCTCTTGTATCTCTGTTCAAGTTTTGTTCTTCAAGCAGCCGGTTGCAACCATGATCCATTACATTCCTTGGACTTATTTTCATTTATGTATATTTTCATATAATAAACAGCATGTTAAAATTTACAGTAGCTCAGATTCCATCACCATATTTTTAGTGATAACTTCACTAGGACTTCTAGGTCTGGACATCAGACATAATTTCACCCTACCTTCTACCCCTTGTGGCGCTGCTTGTAATCTTGGCCTCTTTTTCCTCTGAAGATGTTAGGCCAATTTTGATCTCCAAGCACCTCCTGGGCAAGGCTGGTCTCTCTTCTATTTCATTACTGGTCTATTATGATCCTGGCCTATGAGCCATGAGAGCATGTCTGTCTTTTACACCATGATTCAAGAAGTGATGCTTAGGAAAAACTTGTCTAAGATTAGGGGCAAACAGTTCCTTTAAAAAAAAAAAACAAAACCAAACCCAACCCCCAATATAGCTTCATGCCTGCTAATGTGTGCTTACTAACAGAAGGTAAATAGGTTTGATCATGCAGTTACCAGAAAGTAATACCATTGGCAGCTGGAGAGGAAGCTGCCAAGTTGACTAATGTTTCCTGGGGGAAATGCCACACACTTGAAATCTTATCCATCCATTCTACTCATCTTTGTTTCTTCTGATCTGGAGAAATCAAACTCTTATTAAAATAAAGGTTAACATGCCTAAGTAAACTGCTCTAAAAGTTTTCAGCAGAATGGCATTTCCTTAATCGTATTGTTGGTGGATATAACAAGCTGTGTGATGTTTGTCAATATGAATGTTAGGCAAACAAAGTGCCTACTGAATTTGGCAAATCTGTGGTTAAATTTCAGAGTTGGAAGAGCTCTATTGTAAACATAGAAGATGACAAAGAGAATTGTAGAAGATATGTTATTTCAATGTCCTAGCAAATAAATTATTATTCTTTATTAGAAGGTCCCTTTTTATATGTATTTTTTAAATTGGAAAATAGAATAAATTTCATGTAGCTGAAAGAAGAAAAAAAATATCTATGATGTCCGAGACATTGCCATTCTTCCTTAGCCTGCTTTTCCATTTGAACGCAAACTTGGTTTTGCACGTATATTAACTGGAGATACAGTAACAATACGCTGCTCTTTGGCTACTGTGCCAGTAGTAAATCCTCTTTGCTGAAATTACTGATTAGATGCAATTCAAGTACAGTCTAAATTCTATGCATGATGCTACACTTGGAATAATATTATTGTTTAGATGATGCTTTTTCTCCTACCTGGGTAACCTGCAGTAGGAAAGCTATTTTTTTTTTTTTTATGCACAGCTTATTTCCCTGCTTCTAAAATGTTTCAGTAGTATCACAGCCTTTTGACAAGAAAGGTCAGAAGAATGGAAGTGATTTGTAATGTTGGACACTGCTGGAAAGCACATACAGATCCTCCTTCTAAAGCCTGAGAACCTTGGTTTTTGCCATTTTTTCTTACAATCCGTGTGCTGGTAGCAGCACTCTGAGCTTTAGATCTGTCCCTAGAGTTCTGACTGGCCAGAGAGTGGGAAGAGAACAGGAGACAAAGCCTGCCCCTATTCCTTTCTTATTCCTTGCTAGGATAGTGCTACAGTTCTTCAGAGGCTACAGGAAAGGGTAAGGGTACAGAAGAGCTGAGCTTTGAACTTTTTCAGAAATTAAGAGCGACTTGACTGATGCTCTGGATGCCTTGAATGCGCACTGCACAGAATGGGTCTGTGTGCAGTAACCCACCCAAACCCCAGATACTTTCATCTGAGACTGGAATACTTGGTCTGCTTGTCTGCTGCTGATGCTCGGGAATGTTTGTTCTTTGAAACAATTTGTTGGTATCCATAGGGGCCTACCGTTCCTCCACATTTGTATAAACCCTCTGCTTTGATTCAGAAACAGTAAAAGAGTTAAGTCAATAATGCTGTCCACTCTGCTATATTAAGTGGAAAGGAGTCTAGAAATAATGACAGAAAGTCACTGAGCCCCAACAAAAGCTACAGATAAAAAAATTTAAGCTGATCAAATATGCATGAGATGTCCATATACTGTGAGTGGGGCACAAAACACAGGTCTGAGCCATTTTCTGCTCATTAAGCTCTGGTAGCTGCATCTGGGTTTGAGGGAGTTGTTTCTAGGGCTCATCAAGATCGCTGTCTACACCTGTGAAATACAGCTGATAGGGGTAGCCTCGTTTGTATTTTTGTACTGTAATGACCAATAATGTTACATAACCTTATTACTGCTACTTGGCCAGGGCAGATGATAAGAAAAAGCAGATCTTGACAGTGAAGAAGAATGATTAAAAGAAGCTGCAGAAGCCAACGGTAAGAATTGGATTTCTAAAACGTTAATACTGAAACAGAACTTACTTTTAAAAGTATATCTACAGATACTTACAAAAAGTCTGTTGTGAGCTCTGCAAGTAACTTGCTAATGATTTACATCTTAAGAGATCATTTTAAGGGAACGTCAGCTAGTAGTACTCATCACCTGCTGTCCTAAAAAGGTATTTAATATGTAGGAGATTCAGGATCCTAAAACTGAGATAATTGGTAAAAGCATTTATCAGCTTAGATAGATACAAACACATTTGGAATATATCTGAGACTTCTCCTAGCCCAGGGTCTATCTTAAATGGAAAGATTATGAAAGCCACACAGTAGAAGTACACACCTGTTGACTGATAAATTTATAAATTA